AGTAAACGCTTTTTTTCTCAGTAATTGTTTTTTACCTGACTTTTGACTACTATGCTAACCTGATACTTTTATGCTAGAAGATATTTGATATAGCTAGCTATGGTCCATTCGAAAGACCATTGATAGGTTGTTACCAGGCATGACCAAAAATACTCTCATCAATAAGGCAATGTCATCAGAAACTTTTAAGAGTAGAAATACTGATCATGTTATGTGCAATGTTAGAGAGGTATTAATCAGGAGAGGGCAACTCAATGAAGTTTACTTGGGAAGTAGCAGTGGTATATTCAAAACCCTCTAAGAGAAAAATCTGGCAAAAGCAACTCCCACATACACAAGCAGGTTACTTTACTGTCATTGGGGCCAAATATCGGGGCAATCAGAAACCTTCCTGCCACCCTTACTACGTGGTCTGAACCTTATGTTTCTTTGTCAGTAGAAACAAAAAGCCGCCCATTTAACTGGTAGGAGTGCCTGAATTAAGAGTCATTGATTGGCTGGCTGAGAGGCTAAGTTGGAAACAGTATCACACTGTGTCCTCAACTTATACAGTTTCCACCTGAAAGGCTTCCATAATCTTAAATTTCACTTTCTTTTCAGAAACACAATGTGTGATCATAGAATTGTACTTCTATATGGAAGACAGAAATTAAAGTGTTTCCTTTCCTAAAACATTGTGAACTATGATTTCGTAATGATCATAAGAGAAATTGAATAATTTCAGGAAACATCATCTTTTCATCCTGTAATCCCAAGATGACTTTAAAGATCTCTCTAAGGGCCACTCTTGGTTAATTGGTGGGGTTTCTATCGGGATTACTATATTTATACTGTGTATTTTATGGGAAGTAATCCCTACAATGGATGTCATACAAATGGACTTTAAATGCTGTATTGAACAAACTAAATGTATTTGGTTCCATCTCTGTGACAAAAATTAGAATGGACAATAAAATGGCAACCTCAAAAAATTCTCTCGAAGTAAAGACAGTATAGAAAGAAAAAGTGGATATTTTGGGGATAAATTTTCAGTGGGCCTCTCTTGCGTCTGCTATTTTGCAACTAAGGCACCAGCTGCATTTTGTTCTGAGAAATCTTTTTAAGAATGTTTGTGTAGGGATGTAGGGAACTGCCTTGGAAGATAATGTCTCTTTCAGGAACAAAGAAAACATTTGCTTACAGCTTGGAAGATAAGAGATCATATATCCCTTTGGAATAAAGAGCAGAAATGTTTGTACACAAAATATTTAGATTGCCCAAAATCACAATTCCTTTTATATGAAAATCCCCTCTGCATTGACATGTGTCTGCTGGCTCTCCTTCCATCATTCTATACAACCCCTGATACTCGGGTTTTCGCCCTCACTGGGAGTAAGAATATTTCCTTCTGTCTCTGACCAAGGAATCTTATATCTTCTACCAGGATCCATGAAATTTTGGCAGGCATAAGTGTTTGTTGCAAATAGTGCTAAATATCAGATTGTTTCCCGATCGATACAACTAAAAATTCCATCTGGATAATTCAGATTAAAAATGGCACCCTCCCACCATGACACGCCACTGTCTCAACTAACCAGCACACAACTACAGCTACCATGAAGTTCATGGTTTATAGGCTGTAAGTGCATAGATTAATTGGATAATTACCAATTAAGAGAGATATTGAAACAACACTTCTATTAATAAATAATTATCTTTTTTGGTTATCTATTAAATTTTTGAGGAACATCTTCACTCCAATCCAACCCATTGTTTTTGTAGACAAGATTGAATTTTGCTGCACAATTCTCTATTTATGCATGAAAGCACTTCCAATTTGGTGGTGATAGTCCTGAACCTTTTTCCATTTTGAATGATACCACTGGCAATGGCAATAGCATTCTTAAACCATCACACAGAAAGAACTGTTGACATTCTAAATAGTATGTAATAAATATATTTAAAAGGTAGGATTGCTAGAGGTACAGAAGTTGATGATCATTAATGGAAATACAGTAATGTAAGTCTCAGGGCAGAATATCTCTGAAAAATGTAGTCTTTATATATAATATAGAATTGACATAATTAAAAAGGGAATTTGACTTCTTGTAGCAACTGGCTGGCAGTGGATAGAGGGAAAAACAAAAACAAAAAAACACCATCAAGTTGTTGTTATAGGAGTGGATGAATAGTGACCAACATGACACCTGGAAATCAATATCTATAGAATCCTGTAGAAGATATCTGAAATATGCTTACATTCACAAACCAGTACAACCTAAACTTACTGGTCAGTGTCATCTGGTCAAAGGACCTGTGACTGGGAATATGCAGTACATGGTCAAAGGTCACATCTGCTGCAAAGAACTGAAGAATGGTACTGTAATTTTAATTGATGTATGGTATGTAAAACATTGCTTTACTTTCTGCTACATGTATGTATTATAACAAAAAGGTTATAATTTTATTGTCAAAATTAAATGCAATTCAGACTTTTGTACACCATGAATCATAGAATGAGTGAATATTTCTGGAAGCTTATTTAAAGCCTCTAATTAATGTAATACTTATAAAGACTTACTGGCTAGAAAAATACATTTGGCTTTTAAAACACTGCATGCCCTATTATAATCTTACAAATATTCAAATGACTATGAATAAACAAAAAAAATGAGCTAGAAATACACAATTAAAAGGTCTTAGAAGGAACACACCTATTAATAAAAAGATTATGGCAATAACTCCTGAACCCTGTTTTGTTTCAAATCCAGATGGACATTGGGGTTTGAAGTACATTTTTTTGAATAAAATTTTGAGGAAACTTTAAGACACATAAAAACACAACTGAGACATATGTGTCAAAGAGATATTGACAGAGCTTGGAAAGTGTCTCCAGAAGAAAAAAGTTACCCAGAGCCCTATGATCCATTCTGATCAAATCCCCTTGAAGATATGCTAATAAAAGATATTTAACAAAATATACTGATGGTATTTACTAATAGCATATACATTATTATTTGACTAGGAGTTCTTATGACAAACTTGTAATCCATAGATTTTGGAGAGGAGGGAATATAGCTTCCTGTAATATGTCATGAAAGCTTTGGTATGTAAAATAAGCCTGTTTATTGATGAAAATGACTGCCTTTTATGTAAACAATAATAACATATAGCACTTAGAAAACTCATATATTATAGCTAGACATCATTGTTTCCTTAAGGAGGGTGGAAATAAAATAGGAAAATACATCTGTAGCTCTAGACTTGCCGCTTCATCTGTGCTTCACGACTACTTCTACTTTGAAAGAAATATTAAAGTTTGATATTGGGTAAGATCTGAGATTCCTGTATCTGATTTGATGATATGATATTTTCTGTTATCTCAATGTACATACATCTCAATGCATAATTTTGTGAAAGGCAATACACATGTTACCTGAATACTACAAGTTTCCATTGGAGTTTTGTTTCATTGTGTTTTGTTTTTTATTAAAGGAAAAGAAAGAGGGGAAATAAACTGTCATTACTCAAGGAGAGCGTGCATGGTACAACCTTCCGGCTCTAAGTCCAAAGTTTGATTTCTCGTACTTGAAGCTCGTGATATTTTGTTTGCTCAAGAATGGGAAGGATGGGGTGGTTAACAGACTTCTTGTTGGAATTATTTAACAGACTTATGTAATTTCCTGAGTCTATTTTCTTTTCCATGTTTCAATTGTGTGATGGGAAAGTGAGTCATTTTTCTAAGGACTAAAATACAATATAAGAATAAACTTTATAATTCCAAAGAGTTTGAAGAAAAGAATATTTGACCAAAAATAGACATATTTTCCCTTCATTGTTGTCATCTACAAACATCCAAGGCACTTTTCTACTTATGAGGTTCTTGAGTCTTGGTTCACACTCTTTCTTTCTACCCCTTTTCCTCCATGGGATCCATATCCATATGGAAAATTTGCCCATAATTCTGGTCTCCAAATTTGTGTAGCCCACCAGCTAAATTATAATTTATTTTCCACCTTTATCCCCCAATCTCATAGCCATACTTTTCAACCTGTCAATATAATAGCATAATTTCTGAAATACCTAATTCAAGTATCCTGTGATTTGAAACCCCCTCCTATATTTCTTGTTCACTTAAGTGGTAACACTTTCAAAATCTCTAATCTATAATTCCAAGACACTAAAAGTTTTAAAAGAAAATGGTGCTTTGATAAATTTGGTGCTAAAACACACTTTGTGGTAAAACCTTACATGATTGACTTCATTCATCACGTTTTTCTGGTCATTATTTTTCTTATTTGATGTGACTATGCATTTGTTCAGAGCAGAAAAAGAATCATATTTGATTAGCAGGTTTTCTCCAATGCTTCTTGGAGGTGTTACATTAAAAACTTAATTATTTAAGCCTAAAACATGCTGAATTCTGAAACATATTTGGTTCCAAGGATTTCAGACAAGTGATTGGATACCAGGAATACAATATTTATTTGAACTCACCAAGGCTTAAAATCCTGCGTTCAGCTACTTTTTGTCTTATTATCACCATGCATCATCTTTCATGCCTCTTGTTTAGAATAACAAGTCCACCATTACAAGAAAAAGTTGCAAACACAAGGAAATTTTTATTCTTATCAACAAAACAAAACAGATAACTCGTCTGTGTTTTTCCTGAGTGCATCTCTGCAATTGAAATATCATGACCACCAGTACTCTTTAAATTCATCTTAAGAGAGGAAACCACAGGCACTCAGCTTGCCTTCTAGCAATGGAAAATTCCTTAAGCCAAGCATTTCCTAATTGCTTTACCCTCCTTTGAACTCACTCACTTTCTCTCGCGTTGCTCTTGACTGATAATCAGATGTACTTACCTCCACCTATTTATTATCCAGGCAATTGAAAGGCTCAAATAGAACATGTCATGCTTCTCCCCAACCAAACCCAGACTTTTGTCTTCAGTTCCTCCCTCTCATTCAATTTCAGTTTTTTAACAACGCATATTAACCTGAAATTCTCGTACTTACTTGTTAACTTGACTGTTGTCTGTCTTCACTACAGCTGGATTAGAAACTACAATAAAGAAAAAAAAAGCTTCAGCCTTATTCCTTTTGAAATTCCCAGGTCTAGAATAGTTCTTGTAACAGAGTAGGTGCTTAATTTAATAATATAATTTAATCTTAGAATTCTGTTTTATTACAATCTACTTAAAGTGAACTCCTAGTTGTAGGTGAATGAGTCTAATTTAAAATAAACAGAAAAGGTTTCTTTTTTTTCTGGGCCAACAATCTTAAAATACAAATTTAAAACTGTGCCTTCAGTTTTGCTTCTCATTAGATACAAAATTGGTACTTGATAAAATAAGTTATATTTACTTTTCTTGGAAGCATTTCCATTTGAATTATGTTGAATTACCTGAAGCAACAGACCATTTTCAAGATATAAAAATTGTTAAAAATTAGATGTATTTCTTATGCCAGATTAAAATTCTCCTCTTTAAGGCTTTAATACTTTATGAGCTTGTCAGGTATAGAATTTGGTTCTATCTAATCTGAAAGTTAATTACTGTTTATGTGAGAAAGTTTATTCATCTAGTATTTCTTTGCACAAAAAATGCTAGTTTTAGATCTGAGACTTCAAGTGTAAAACTAAAGTCATTAAGTATAGTAAGGACAATGTTTTCCAGGGTCCTTCCAGATGCCTATCTTTGTGATTATATTCATTAAAGAAGAAGAAAGGAAAGAAACAAGAGAAGAGAAGAATGAGAAGAAAGAGGAGAAAGACAAGAAGAAGAGTGAGCAGGAGGAAAGATGAAGTAGGTGCTAGAGAAGCTAAAGGCGCACAGTCTCCCACATTAGCTTGTGTACTGTAAAGCTACAATCATGAAGTTTTATCTCATAGCCTGTTTATATGCTGCTCTTGGAATATATGGGCCTTAAAACACATTTCAGAAGGTTTTGTTAGTTCCCTAGATGCTGAATTAAGGGCCGGCACAATTTTGCGTTGCATAAAGCTGCCACCCAGGGCTCCAGACCCTTTTTTTAGTGTCCTTTTCCTCAGTCAGTGTCTCACATTTCCTGCTTATTCCCTCTCTCCCAATACTTGACTGTGCTTATTGCTGATTCACACTTTAGATTCAAAGTATGGGTTTTTTTTTGTTTTTCCATTCTCTAACGATACTGTACTTTTCTCAATAACTGTAAGCCTTATACTAAGATAAAACCTGGGAGTAAAGTTGTTCTAATTTCTTTGACCAAGCATAGGTAAATGGAAGGAGAAAATAGAAAATTCAAAAGTTGCTCCCCCCACCATCCCCACATAACCAGTTTCTTGATCAAAAAAATAGCAAGGTTGGGAATTCATATTTTTGCATAAGAAGCTATCATGCAATCAGGGATCGTATAGATAGCAAGCTGTTACAACACAGAATCATATCTATTTCTTGGAACAAGAAATAGAAGAAACTGTAAAAGTGCACTGCAGATGGTCCCTTATCAATTTCTAGCTACCAACAGCCACGGAAGCAATTATAACATTTAAAATACTGATTCCTTATAATTCACTCTATCAGGGTAGTCTCCCCTGAAAGCACCCACACTTTTATCAGAACATCATAATTAGGCCTGCATGGGTCTTTACCATATTTCATTACAGTTGAGTATACAATGTGTGAAGCATTCATCTACCATCTTCACTGTAATGTGTGCTTTAACATCAGTGAGCATTTCTATCCCAAAGACAGTCAACATGTGTGTTTTGACTAAGTATCAAAACTTCTGAGTGTTTAACAGTTATCAATTCTCATGACAAATAATATTCTAAACAGTAAAACACCTGCCAATAAACATCTTGGACATCTGTAAAATTGCCCAAAGCTTAGGCTTACAAATTAAATAATAAAATCAGGCCTTGTAAATTACTGAGTACAAAGGCGGAGCATGGGATTGTGGACAAATGTAATACGTTGAGCTATTATACCCTTTGTGTAAGTTCACGAAAGTAATTTGATTTTACAAAGTGGGGATTTTATTGTTAGTAGTGAATGAATTGACTCTCAGAGAGTTAACATCTAAATTGGAGTTCAAGTCTTCAGGTAACTTCCAGGTATAATCAATAGTAGTTTGAAGTAAAGTACTGAGACAAATTGAGATAAATTCATCAAAAGGAAATAGATTATAAACAACTAAAATTACTTTATGAAGACTGATTAGGACCACCAAAACAACAGTTCAACATTGCTAAAATTGTAGGTTAAATTGTATAGATTTGGTTGGTAAAATTAAGCAGGATCAATAATTGGAGGAGTAATCAAAAATTATCACTTCAGAATGATACTACAATGAGAGGATTTTCTAAAACAAACAAACAAAAAAAAAACATGGTGTCTGTCGCATCCATTCATGTTTTGTGGTATTTTTTATGTTAAATTCAGAAAGAGAGAAAACCGTCTTATAATTAAGACTGAAAAGCATAATCAGTGAAGATAAAATCTGTAAATGTGTAGGTAAATCTAAACAATTGTTGACACGAAAACTTAAATGTCCTCCCTGTATTGATGACTTTTAGATAAAATAAGAGTAGTGGATAATAAATTTTTATTATTGAGTGATAGGAAAAGAAATATTTAAATATAGTATGTTGAGGACATTGCATCATTTGAAAAGAAGTTGGATAACATTACTTCAAATTTTAGTGGAATATATATAATTTTAATAGCTATTTAGAAAAGAGAAATAAAGTACAAAACTTCAAAATCATAGAAGAAACATGTAATAAGCACGTAGTATATATGACTGAAGAGAAAATATAAAAACATTGAAATGTAATATGGGGTAAATCTTAATATATAATATTTCCATATTAATAAAAATGCTTATAACTGAATCATAATGCAAATGCTACTGATATAGATTGTGGGATGCTGACCAAATGATACTTAGAAGAATATTTATCCTTTAAAATCTTGTATATGAAAAAAATGTATTGCACTTAGTTACATTTGAATGATAAATAGGCTAAAATAATATGAAATAGGAATATCATTTAAAGAAACAAGAAAAAAGGAGAGATACAAGAATGATGCAAGGACATTATAGTTTATTGAAAGATTGCTGAAACAGGAAACAAATATTTAATAGAGATGAACAGCAAAGCCCAAAGACATTTCTTTGAGTAGAAAAGAGCAACCAACATTTGTGGCAGCAATTTTATGTTGTCAATGTCAGATTGGTTTTTGCTAATATTCCTTTGGAGTTCTATCTGATGTAATGAAAACATTTTATGTTCTTCCATTATTTGTGCTATATAGTTTAGACTGACATAATTCATCACTTTATATATTCTTCCCCTCTACCCACCTTCTGAATCACGGTAGGTAATAACCTTTCTTACCTTTTTTTTTGTATTGTGGAGAATACTTAAAAAAAAAAAAGGAGATAGCTAGATCATAGGGCAGTTCTGTTTTTAATGTTTTGAGAAACCTCCTTTTTTTTTTTTTTTTAATGACTACTAGTTTACATTTCTACCAACAGTGGGCAACAGTTTCCTTTTCAACACATCTTCACCAACACTTGTTATTTTTTATCTTGTTTAATTATAACCAATATGAGTTGATATATCTCATTATGGTTTTAATTTGCATTTCCTTGATGATTAGTGATGTTGAGAATTTTTTCTTATACCCTCTGGCCATCTGTATGTCTTCTAAAGGAAATAAAACCAATATGTTGAAGAGGTACCTGCACACTCATATTCATGGCAGCATTCTTCACAATAGCCAAGATATTAAATCAGTCCAAGCATCCAAGAAGGAAATCCCATGATTTTTGGCAACATGGATGAATCTGGAAAACCTTAAGTTAAAGAAGCCAGCCATAGAAAGACAAATACCACAAGATCTCACTTATATGTGGAATCTCAAAATGTCAAACTCACAGAAGCAGAGGTAGAACTGTTGGTTAAAAGGGAGTTGGCCAATGGGTGGGTGGGTGGATGGTTGGGGCAGACTGAGGAGGTGATGGTCAAAGAATACAAATTTTCACTTAGGCAAAAAAAATAAGTTTAAGAGAGCTATTGTATAACATGGAAACTATAGTTAATAACAATGAATCGTGTACTCAAAAATAACTAACAGAGTTAATGTTAAATGTTCTCATCACAAAAACATAATAAGTATTTGAGGTAATGCCCGGCCTGTGAAAATTAGTTTGATTTGGTCCTTCCACAATGTATGTATGTATGTATATATACACACACACACACACATTATATATGCATACGTATATATATCAAAATGTCTTATTGTATGTGACAAGTATAACTTTTTTGAGAATTTTAAAATAATTAAACACATATAAAAAGGATGAAAACAAAAAAATGTATATAATATTAGAAAGGAAAGCATAAACATAAGTAGATATACCATGACCATAAAATTTTAATTATTAAATTTCTCTACTATTAGCATAAAGATTGACAAATCAAGTAATAGGGTGGTGGAGAACCAGACTCAATCTTTCTATACGACAAGGTAAAGGTTGGTCAATTCCGCAAATAACACTAATGAAAGTCAATAATATAGATCAAAATATATCACAATCTTAAGCAATATATAAAAATGAATTCAAGATGAATTAAAGACATACTTGAAAATCTGTATAAATTTTTAGAGCAGTAAGGTGTTATGTTTATGCTTTGAAGGTTGTAAAAAATGTATTTAAAATCAACACAAATCAAGGAATAAATGATAAATTAGAATACATCAACATTTAAAATTTTTGCTCCTAAAAAGATGTCCTAATCTGCAAGAAAGTATTTTTAACACATAAACTAGATTAATAGTCATAAAATTCATAAGATTCAAAAATCAAAAGAAAAAACAAAAAAGTCCACATTTGTGTATACATTTAAGAGAATAATCTCACCCAAAACAAGAGTAAATCCTTATTTCCAAAAAGAACATTTGGGAAAACAGCCTAATATTTAAATATTTCTGTAAATAAATATTATAAAATAGTAATCCACAATAAAACTGAATAAACTGAAGCTACATATCACAAAGTATCAATCAATGT